ATATTTAGGGGTTGAAATGGACCAACAACTAAAAATGTTCCTGATTTTGCAGCCGTTATAAAATTAACAAATTCAATCCAAAGGAAATCTCGCATGAAGTTAGAGTTTAGGACAGCGGGTAGAATGGACCACTACTTTTGTGTGAAAAATATCAACATTATTTACAGGCGATATCCGCAATGCACGTTGACGAATATAGCCTTCTAAGCCCCTTCTAGGGGCTTCTAACATATTTTAGTGTTGTAGGGTATTACATGGTCGGTCCCGCACGACTATAGCCTTTGCTTACTTGTTTATTTTTATTTCTGCGTTGAATTTTTCTTCTTTCTTTGACCTCGCTCACCAGACCAATTTCTCTTTGATTTTCTACATAATAAAAAAAAAACAGTTTTTTTTTAAATCGGCTTTACTAAAAATGTTGGACAACATCGGAGTTTGAAAACTATTGAAATGATTAAACTCTTCTTTGTATGAATGCAATTTTTGTTTTCTCTTTAATAATCTCTCTTTTGGACTCATGTGCTAGCACACGGCTTTGAGCAGTGCTGTTTTAAATAAATAAATTTAAAGTTAATAAAGAGAGATTAAAAATCGTAATTTTAGTTCTTCCTCTCTAATCTGTTTCACGCTTTTGCTCACCTCTACTATAAACACTCCATTCATAGAAATATAATGGTGTTCAAAACATCAATTTCACAGCATGAAACACATTGAGGAAATTGAAGTCATCAACAGCCACTTGTTCTGCTTTCTAATTAACACCTACTCTTTTGCCCCCACTTACCCCCATGTAACTGTCAACTGGATTCGAATTAGTTAACATACACTTGACCACCGTGATCGTTTGTAGCCAGCTTCACCAACAATACACTTCTTCGGTCGGAACGCATTGACAAGATGCCTTCAACGACGAGATGCAGAGACACCCATACAAACCGGTTTACAATGGCTGACCAAAGAAGATTCATATACGATGTTGGCCATTTATTTCGCTTGACCAAATTTAGTCAGAGCCGATAAAGACCCGCTTCTTTTGTTTTGGATTTCTATAACAGCTGCACTTGTCCTCCGCTTTCGTTTCTTCTTGCGCCCCCTTCACAATCACAAACGAAAGAAAATACGGAGTAAAAATGAGAAGAGAGACTCTAATTTTTAACATCATTAACACCTGTTATCTATCATCGGAGTGTGAAAACGGTTAACAAAACAAAAACAAAAGAACTAACAACAAGCCACAAAGAAAGTCAAACAAAGATGAAGCAAGGTAATAACACGTAATAGACGCTAATATACGAATGAGATCATTTTGTCCATTTGTTGCTTGTCGTGAGTGCAGTGTTGCTCGTGAGCAGTTCTGCATGAAGAAGGAAAGAGAAAGATGAAAATTGTAATGTTCCGGCAACATGTTGCTGAAATGCATTATATCTCTTTTTGTGTGCATTATCTGCTATTCTCCTAGAAGTCTCTTAAATACGATTCTCCCCCCATTCAGTGCACAATTTTACCTTCGAAGAACAATCAACACAACCGTGTCTCTCGATATCTTTTACAACAGGTTTTTTGTGTACCTTTGTTATTTCTCGATTTGTTGGTTTGTTGTTATGCCCGCTTACGGAATTCAATGACGAAGTACCACATATTTGACGATCTTGTTTTGGTATGAAAAATAGAAGCTGTTTTTTGGATTTTTGTTCCAAAAAAAATATTTTTAAAGTACCACCTCATTAATTGTTGTACATAAAAACGCAAAACCACATAGCCCTAGAACCAGCTGATCATACCACTCATAATCTTCACTTGCATAAGCATAATTCCTCATAAATCCCATAACAATTATTAGCATTCTTTGGCATTTGAAATGTGGTCCAGTGTGGGCCTCAAAGTAACCGAGATCATCTTTTCCAACAACAACTTTTTCACACAGACTGCCCACCACCACTCTTGGTCCGATGAAATAATCAGCAAAAAAAAGCTCACCGATGATGATGGTGGCTAGTGCCGACAAGCGCAAGTGTGAATGAACAGCGCAAACAGCATGAATGAATTGGGGTTTTTTTGAGTGGGCTGCTTTACGCTAATACGCTGATAAATTAGCATTGAACTATATTTTCCCATGTATGGGCGAAATTTAATTCCACTTTACAAAACGTTCAACCAACAACAGGTCATATCTTCTGATTTGATGCTGCTTTCAAACTTAATTAGCATAAACAGTTTGAATGGGTAAAAGTGGGTAAAAGACAATAACAACATTTATTTATGAGATTTATGTATGTTAATTGGTTTTTAAGTTTAATTTTTTTGAGACGAAAAAAGGTGAGAATGCATTGTGTTAAATATTTGCGGATTATCTTAACATATGTGTTGCCGAAAATTTATGCCAAAAAATAAATATGAGTTTTAAGTTTAGATTAAAACGTATATCTCTTAAATGCATAGAAACAAATTTAAATGAAGAAAAACTCTAATTAAAATTAGAAACTTTCCACGACAAATGTTGAGTGCCTGAAAATTATATTTAAATATTATGATTTACGGATAACGTAACGTAGCATGAAGTTGCGGGGGAGCTGTATCCAATTTTACACCAATAATGACAAAATTTGGCAGAGTTATTCCTGAGCTGCATCTGCTATCGTTGTTATTGAGTGCATATTACGGATGGGAGTTATATAGCTGAACCGATTTTCTCCAAATTTTACGTACTTGTTTCTAGGCTAAATTTGGAAGTCTCTGCCAACATACATCCAATTAAGGCTTATACCTCTCTTTTGTTACCCACAGGTTAACGTTGTACTTCAAAACCTCCTCCTCACTCCACCTTAATATTGTCAACTTCTTGCATTATTTGCAGGAACAATATGCAATGAAATTAATTAAATTTAAGTTCTTGTCAAAGTCTTTCTCTGCTCCTGTATCTGTGTTTTGGTAACATACAAAATTGCAATAAGTTTTTCTTCATAAGTTGGACTTTAACCATTTATTTCAAATTATTCTGGCGCACAACGCTTTGATGGAAGCGTCAGCTAAGGTTGCTTAATACCGCGCCACTAAGAAATTCACACGAAAGTGCTTCGGTTTGTGGCACGAAATGTTAAATCAGTTACACGTCAAGTATGTCTTGCATTTCAAATGAGGCAGTTAACTTTGTACTTATGTAATCTATCTTTTGAGCCATCGCACGGTGTTTCTTAACAAAAAAAAAAAATACATTTTGGGAATTTTTGATAGAAAGTCAAATTTCCACAAGATTTTTTCATTGACAAGTACTTTGTTTCGAAATGCTATCTTCTGTTTGGGATGTCTAAAATATTTCCAGATATTTTTTTGCGCAACACGGTGCATCAATGCATACAATGCCGCTAGACATTTTCATGCAACAAAATCTATTTTCAATATTTTAACACATTCCTCCCTGATTGTGCATAGATTGCAACATTCCTAAGTAAAAAATATGATGAACAATTAAGTCAGCTATCTTTAGATGAGCCAAAAAAAATACTGAAGTCAAATAATTACAAAATGTTAAAAGCTATGAAGTTACTCCAGTTATCACAGTTAAATACTTGATTAATGCTACTTTCAAGACATTAAAGAAACAACGTTACTTATATGAATTTTTGAGATCGTCATTTATTCACTCTTGTTCTTTTGAGGAACATGGTAAATTATGCTGCCAACAAAATATAACTTCGGTGGACAGTGTTTCTTAACAATTTTCAGTTTTTAAACTAAGGTACACTATGCAACACGAAAATTATTATTCATATTTTGACACCCCAAAAGAAGAGATGATCTGTTTATTTAATTGTTCGTTTATAATCAACTGATGCTGCTTTGACCTTTATGTCCAAATAAATTATTTTGTGAGACCCATATCTTGCAAACTGTTTATAACTTGGATATTCTCTCTTAGACAAAGTTTTAGCTATTGTCAGACAGATTCAAGGTTTGGACACATAAAATCCATAAGATCCTTCATTGATAAAGTCAAATTAGTTTATATTTTTTATCGGGCTCTGATATATACATATGAAACCGTAAAAAATTCAAACGAAAGTATACCAAGATGACAGCAAACAACTTTCTAGAGAAGTAGTTCTTAAGTCAATTTTTACTTTCTTACCGATTAAATATGTAGATAGCAAACTTTTCAAAAAACTAATCTTGTATGTTATCGCTCAAATAAAGTTCAGGTAGTTGTATATTGAGATCATAGATAATTTGGTAATTTGCTTGAATTTGAAATGGTTCCGTGTATATATATATCAAACCCAGAAAAAAAATTATAAGAAACTAACTTGCCAATTTTTATCTTAAAATTATTTTTTTTTTTTATTTTATGTGTTCACAAATTTTGTTTTGAGTAACAATAGCTATAACATTGTCTCGGAGAGGAAATCCTAAATTCTTAATGCTTTGCATGACATGTGCCTTCGGACACGAAGGTCGACATTTTTTGGGCCCACAACAGAATACGTTTTTTAAAACTGCAACACCTTCTTCTCATTTTTGTCCTTCTATCATGCTACGGTGTCAAAACATAGTTAATAATCTTTGAATTACAGTCGTATTCATCTGAAATTTGTCATGGATAACTCTACAACCTGTCATTTACGTGTACAGTCCACTTATTATAGTTTGTGTTTTTATCAAATAAAAATCCGTACCATTGTCGAGTTATCATGAGAAATCATATATTCATTATCAAGACTTGTAAAGCGGATCTTTCAATGGAATATTAAATTTAAATTTATTCGAATAATTGAAATGTGGCGCTCAAAGTCAAGTAACAGGTACACCCACATATTACAGATCATGCCTATCATAGGAATCATTTTTAATGATTATCAAATATTTGAGTTAATTAGATAAGACGCCGTCTTACCCCGCTAGCTTTTCCGGTGAATCACATCAAATCCAAATAAATTAGCTATAAGTTGACACAGCTGAAAATTCCAGATAAATTTTAATTTCATTTTTTGCATCGGAACCAAAACAATTTCATCATTTGCAATTCGATTGCTTAAAAGACCAGTTTAGCTAGAATGAGAGGAATATGGCACTCAATACTATTTTCTTTGTTCTAATCTGTCAGATTTTAGCAGTTCCAATCAAGGGCGAGGGCTACTTAGGTTATGGACCTGATTTAACAGGCACTGCCGGTAAGTATATGATGAATTGTACAGGCACTTAATTTTAATGGAATATCTTTGCTTTAGGCGAAATTTGGCCCAAACCATTGTGGCAGGATGATTCAGGTCGTTATTTTGACATGGATCCCAATAATTTTCAATTTGTGGTAATGCACACAATACTCAGTGCAATCGAATAAATTTTCATTTGCTCTACTTTTTTCGCAGGCTGTGAACAGAAATTGTCCCCTACTTCAAGATGCCATTTCACGGTATGCCGATATCATTCGCAAATCGGCTCAAGGTTATGTCAAGGCACCACAAACAAAAGTTGTGCGCCGAATTCAGAAGCTAAGTGTCAATCTGACAAGAACATGCGGAACACTTCCCAGTTTGGATATGGATGAGTCATGTGAGTGGGAATGTGCCGTTTAGCTTCTGCGGTGTCATTAATCAAGAGAACAGAATTAATTAAAACGGTTTCGCCACATTTCAGATTATGTTTGGGGTGATGGACGCATCATTGCAAATTCCATCTGGGGGATACTAAGAGGCCTGGAAACTATTTCACAGCTTCTGGTGCCGATGCCCAATGGAATGGTAAGTAAACTATTAACTCTATAACAGGAGACGAGGTGTCCCATGTGTGTGTTTGTGTGAAACAAAATTAATTGATAATTGTCACCAACTCATTTTGGCGATGTACCCACACAACAATCCTTTCCTTTCAGCTTCGTATACCGGAAACAGAAATTTATGACGAGCCACGTTTCAAGTATCGAGGCCTAATGTTGGATTCTGCTCGTCATTTTATAAGTAAAACCAAAATCCTACAACTTCTTGAAGGTATGGCCTATAACAAACTAAATGTGTTCCACTGGCATTTGACGGACGATTCGGCATTCCCATTCAGTTCAGCAGTGTATCCCGAACTGTCGCAAAAAGGTGCCTATCGTCCGGAATTGACTTACTCCCCGGAGGATGTGAAGGAAATTGTGGAATTTGCCCGGAAGAGGGGTATACGTGTAATCCCTGAATTCGATACCCCAGGTAGGTGACATTCGCAACACATTTGGGTAGGAAATCACGATTTGGAGTTCTTTCAAAGGTCACACCGCATCTTGGGGTGCATCTCATCCAGAAATAATGACAACCTGCTCCGGCCAATACAATGGCCAGCTGGGACCCTTTAACCCAACAAAAGAAGCCACATTTACACTTTTGTATAAATTCTTTAGGTGAGCCTTTTCCACAATAGTCCCATGTAACTCTCATTACACTCCCATCGTTTCCTCAGTGAAATCCGAAATCTTTTCCCCGACAAATATTTACATCTTGGTGTTGATGAGGTTAATCCTTCCTGCTGGGAAAGTAATTCCCAGATTCAAAACTATTTAGCCTCCAATGGCTTAGATAATGGCGACATACCCTATTTGTATTTGGAAAGATTCTCAGCAAATATTACGTCGTTGGGTTGGAAGCAAATGGCGTGGCAAGAGGTAAGAAAAGGATTAAACCTTCCTGAGTTGGACAAAAAAAATAAATACCATTTTCAGGGTTTCATAGAAAATCCATGGATGGCTTGGCCCAAAGACACCATTGCTCAGATCTGGTTTGACTATAAGGCAACCGCTGCCACCCTTACTAAACGTAAATTCAATGTCATACGAAGCCAAGACTGGTATTTGTACGTCTTGGAAACAGGCGGTGACTGGGAGAAATTCTATAATGTGGAACCCACCGATTTTAGTGGGACCGATGCCCAGAAGCAATTGGTCATTGGCGGCGAAGCTTGTCTATGGACCGAATTCATCAACGAGCACAATGTCTTGCCGACCACCTTTCCCCGAGTGGCAGCTGTAGCCGAAAGGCTTTGGTCCGAACAAGCTCATCGAAGCATCGATGAGGCGAAATTACGCTTGGAAGAGCACAATTGCCGTATGGTCTACAGGGGCATTGAGGCCAGACCGGCCAATAGTTTTGGTCTTTGCTAGTGTAAGTGAAGCAAAAACCAACAACAACAACAACGTCTTAATAAAAAATGTTTGCAATTAAATCGAAACGTTTTTGGTTTTCATTACAACTATGTCTGGCACTTACGTGTTAATGTTAAAACCGCCGGTTTTGGCCGTGTTGAAGAACCATTCGATGTTTGTTGAGTTTTTGGTGGTGGTCCCAAATCGGTTGGCGATATACTCAGATTGCGCACATCGCGTTTCTTGGCTGCTCCTGCAAAGGAAGAAAAGAAAACGGAAAACAAAATGAAAAATTACTGTTAAACAACATTAAATTGCTTGGATCCGAGTAAAAGCTATGCGCGAGCACGCTCTGAGAATTATCTACATTTGCGAAGAGACCCATTTAAAACTTGAGCGATAGCATAATTTCATTAAATCGTTATGTTACAAACGTGACCATTTTCAAATTTTACAACATTTCGGGTGTGGGGAGGGGGGAGGGTGGTTGTTTGGTGTGTACGGAAAGAAAGTACTTCTAATCAAATATCCAGCACTCAAATATGCATTCTTTGGCAAAACTAAAAAACATTGTTGGAATTTCCATTTGGAATTCGAGTTAATAGAAATGATGGCAAAGAATGCAAAGATGAAGTGAAACTTTCGAATTCCGCTAAAAATGATTTCATTTTAGCAAGCAAGCTGTGAGTGCAAGTTCCTCCTCATGTGAGCATTAAAAACACACATTACGCCTGAGGTTGATATATTTCTGACATTTGGAGATAAATAGAAAAAATCACTCAAACGTAGATGTGAATCTGCGGTTCCTTTCATTGACAAATGAAGTAATGTTCGGAAAATAGACACAGCTCCCCCAAAAACGAAGATGAAGTGAATTCATTCAATACCCTTTTTTTTTGTATTTGTAAACATCCATTAAACAAATTTTCAGTAAATGAATCGAACAAAGGGGAAGCGCAATTTCGCAACTGCAAACACATCTGTTGGCGGAACACACATCGAAGGAATGGACATTGCATTTCCTTATTGGAAATAGTAATTTGCAAAAGATGCAAAGGCATACAGTGACTCCGACACTAAAATCTGCTGTAGATTTTAAACAAATAAACCAAATGACGATGTAAAGTCTTTAAGGGAAGTGGAAAAGGAAAAACCAAGGGAGAAGGAAAAACCAAGTTGAGTTCTGACAAGAATCTTTAAACATTAGAAAATTAATAATTTAGATTTGACAGAGATTTTCTATTTCTGAGGCACCAAAGTTACAAAAAGTTATCCAATAACAACTTAAATTGCCAATAAAATTTGGCTACATTTTTCAATATGCTTAAAGGCATAGAACCATACCTTCTACGAATGAGAAAAATAGACTGCACAATTACCCTCTTGATTCTTTCTATTTCGAAATAATAAGTCTAGTCTTAAAATACGCAATGCTTCTGTAATTTTGAACTAATTGTATTACAAATTTAGTGGAATCTGAACTTATCATCCAAAAAGATTCTATAATATGTTGGGACCATGTACAGGGTGAGATGAAAAAACTGCTACCAACTTCAGACTGTTGTCATTTCTAAGTCACTCGTCCGACAGCTGTTAAAATTATTCCAGTGACAGCTCATAATATTGTTTAAAAGCGTACAAAAACAATTTGGTGACAATTTTCCAGAAAAAAAGTTATTCGTGATGGAATTCAAGCGTGATAGTGGCTTGAAAACCGCATCTGGCTATAGTTAGAGCACTCCAGCATTTAAATGTGAATAAATCGTTAGTGTCTCGTACCATCGCTCGTTACCGTGATACAGGTAGCGTAGCCGGACGTCAAGGAATTGGACGGAAGAAAACAGCAACATCAGCAGAAATGGTTCGAAAAGTAAATAAGCGGCTTGATCGAAACCCGCGTCGCAGTGGTCGAAAAATGGCTCCTGAGCTAAGTATACCGCAATATTCCATTTGGCAAATATTGAAAAATGAGCTCGGGGTAAAGCCATTGAAATTCCAAAAAGTGCAAGCACTTACACCGCAACAGAAAGAAAATAGACTCAAAAGAGCTAAAGAGTTGCTTCGCTTGGCCGAAAGTGGTGAACTACCGAATTTGGTTTTCTCCGATGACAAAACATTCGTTGTCCAGCAGTTTGTAAACAAACAAAATGATCGTGTTTACTTGCCAAAAAGGTAAGCTGAAAATGTGCACCTTCGGTTGGCCACCAGAACTCAAGCGCCGGCCATGGTGATGGTATAGGCCATAATAGCCGATGGTCGCCCTGCTCATATTGATCGACCGTGGCATAAGAATAAATGCCGAATATTATCGCTAAAATATTCAGGAGGGTGTATTAAAGCCTTGGGCACGCAAACATTTTGGCTGCAGACCTTGGACATTCCACCAACTAAGAATGGTTACATAATAAGGTTCATCGCTTCATTTCCAGCGCACAATGGCCGCCAAAATCTCCGGAGACCAATCCGTTTGACTATTGTGTCTGGAGTATTTTGGAATGCAAAGTTGGCACTAAAAAATACCAAAGTGTAGATCACCTCCAGCAAGCGGTTTGCCGGGAATGGGCCAAAATACCGCAGAGCAACATTTAAAGGCCATAATTCACGCCAAAGGTGACCAATTCGAACAAATCTAAACTTATTCTAAAATTTGATGCCATTTCCGACATATTTGTTTTCATTCAATAAAATTAAAAAAAAATATATATATGGCGGAAGGTATAATTGACATGAATTTGCTTATGAATAGTTTAATCTATCCATTTCTTAACTATAAAGACACTTACCTTTAGCACGTTTACCAAAGCTACCGAAACGCTCTCTTTCGATGACCTGAGCGTGGATATATCGTTCGGAATAAGAACGCGATAATTTCTCTTTTGAACTGTGTGCGCCCATATTTATTTTATTGATCAAACGGTCGCTTCAAATATTCTTAATACTTTGACATATTTTTTTAATTTTATTTTCTACAGATTTTTTTAATCTAATTTTTGTTTATTCAGGTGGTTTTTTGATATTCTGGAAAATTTTTGCAATTACGATTTTTAATTGAGTTAAATTAATTGGTTTAAATATTATTTGTTGTTGTGTCGGTGGAGCTTTTAAAATCATTCTAATATATGAGTGGCTAACCATTTAATCTAATCATGAAAGAAGAGGCCACAAAACAAATGTTTCGTTTATTCGAATTATGTTCTGGTATCCACCTTGGATATGTCACTCTTGTAGTTCTCAAAATATTATTTTCCCTTTTCAATGTGAAATACATTACTTGATTTATTCAAAATTGCCAAACACAAATTTCTACAACGAAAAACACTCAGAAAATGTGTATTTTTCCACCATGTCGTAAGGGGGACCAAAGAGTTTCATCACATTCCGGAAAAACAGATATCTTCAGTTTGTAAATCAAAATGTATTACAAAAAATGGAACGTCCGCAATTATTAATTTTTAAACAATCACTTACGCCTTGAACAGAATGTTCCGATGCACGAAATGTTGCCCAATTTGTTGAATGATTCGTCACTCTTCATCTTAGAAGACCAACATCATACAGCACACCCCACGCAGAGATGAAATTGAATGAAAAACATAGAATCAGGCAAGGTCGAAAGGAAAAATCACACAACAATGTAAAGCAATTCACCCCACAAAACTTTTTCATTATTATTTTATGTGTGTGCGTGTTTGTTGTTGTCTTATGCTGTGGCATGGCCAGGTGTTTTCTTCGTGTCTCCTCAATTTGGATTAGGGAAAACATATATCCACGTGGTATCAGAATCTAAAGACAGAACGGCGACTGGCTTCCTACTCACAAATTTGCTATCTCGATGACAAATTATGGCTGAAATTAAGAATTCCATGGGAAATGTTTTACATAGTTGCCAGATTTGATGTTTAATGCCATGTTTTAAAACTTTGTTATTTGTATTTCGTTGAAAATCGGGAAAAAAAAATTGTTTTATATTTATTTATTTGAATTGATCTAACTAAATTTAATCTTCTTAAATCTGTGAATGTAATTTCGAAAGTAAATGTAATTCGCTCCGTGTCAAATATCAGCTTATTCGATAAATGTATCGGCTGTAGCGCCAGCTTAAAATATGAATGACATTTTAATGTGAAATTTGATTGCATGCTCCGATACTTGTCTTCTTTGGACCGATAGTAAGGCTTTTAGTCCATTTTAAAATCGGTTTTGATTGAAAAAATATCCAATGAATCATAATCGATTTTTAATAACAATAAAGCCTGTTCATGGATACTGAAAAAAAAAACTAATAGACTACTTTTCAATATTACCAAAAAAGGAGCAAAACTTGAATGATTTCAATATATTTGATGATTGAATGATTTCAATATATTCGATGCTTCAGATTTACCAAACAGATGGGTCCATATACAACTTCTGACAAGTTTTACTTATATAACACAGGTTTAGGTCAAAGTTATCATTCCAATTGAAGAAGATCTAAAAAAAATTAATCTGGCATCCATGAATATATCTACTCATTTTTTAGCACAAACATCCCAAATAAGTATGAGATTTTCAAAATATAGGTGAAAAGACATCCATCTGTCATGCTGCAAAGCGTGAGAAAGACAACTAATTTCATGCTTAGAATCGGGCCCATTGGATGGACAGACAAATGGGCAACCATACGCCCAACACCAATGCCACCAAAGTGAGAGTGAAAAACGCTATGCAAAACTAAAATACAGACATAAACGCCACATAGAATCTCCTTTCGAGAATAAGTTCTCCCTCAAAACAAGACATGACATATTCAGATCATCAAATACATTTGCCTCTGTTTTGTACAACTCTACACATTTGTATGTTTGTATGTATGTATGTAGACCTAAGTGGCTGTTGAGAGAGTATATTTTTAGACGTTTCCTGGTAAACGCATGTAAATGTCATCCGATTTTAGCTGGGAACGATGGTGACGGGATGTATGTTTGTGTTTTTCAGTTTTTTTTGTATTCGACTGCTGTAAAAAGACTTTAACAAGGTGCCGGGATAGGTGCAAGCGGTAACACATTATAATTACCTCATCTCATGAGGGGAAATTTTATACTTC